TAATTTCATCACTATTAATAGTTTTTTTGTGACAAAATAAATAATTATCGCATTAAATTAAAAAAATATATACAATTCTGAAAAAAACTAAAATTGTCATAATAATTTGTCACAAGTAACAAACATATGTAATATATGGTAACAAAATAAATTTTATTACAATTTTTTGTCACAAATGTTTCCCTCCAATTTTTTTGTGCCAAATTAAGATCATATAGTGACAAGTTTTGTAACTAAAAGTTTTCGTAATTATGACAGAAAATTTGTCACAACAAATAATGAGATTTATATTTGTTGCGACAAATTTTGTTTGTAATTATATATTTTAATTATAGTGACAAAATGTATAGTCATAAATGATTATCTCCAATTTTTGGTACAAAAACAAAATCATATAGTGACACGTTTTGTAACTATAAGCTATAATTATTGTTACGAAAAAAATTGTCAAAACAAATAATGAGATTCAAATTTTTAGTGAAAAAAATGTTTGTAGTTATATATTTTAATTATAGTGACAAAATATATTGTCATAAAGATTTACCTTCACATTTTTTGGCGCAAAAAAAGTCATATAGTGACAAATTTTGTAACGATAATTATTGATAATTATTACAAAAATCATTGTTACAAAAATAATGATATTCACATTTTTGTGACAAATTATATTTATAGTTATAAATTTTAATTATAGTGATAACATATATTGTCATAACTAGTTTTCTCCACTTTTTTGTTCCAAAATATTGACAAGTTTTGCAATTATAGTTTATAGTTATAGTTATAGAAAATGATCATATCAAATAATAAAATTCAAGTTTTTTTGTAATCAATTATTTTTGTAGTTATATAATTTAATCATTATGAAAAAATATAATATCAGAAATATTTCTCCCTATTTTATGGTGTCAAAAATGTTATATAGTGACAAGTTTTCTAACTATATATTATAGTTATTGTTATAAAAACATTATCACAATAAAAATTTCATGTTTTTTTAATTAATAAAATATTAAAGTTCTTTTTATGAAAAAATATATTTGTATTTATTAAAGTGGATGTATCTTGAGCTCTTGGCCTCGAATTATGATTCTATCATTCATTCTACCTCATTTTAAATTGAGTGAAATTCATTGAAAGAGAATTTTGATTTAGAAGATGATTCGATTCACTCGAATTTACAATATAATGGTATACATGAAGATAATAGTGCATGGGTAAAAATGAACAAATGCAAAATACAGTGAAAATGTAAAAATAGTTAGCAATATTCAAGGACTAAATTAAAATAAATATAAACATGCTTGTCAAATGAAGAAAATATTGCATGGCACAAAGGACTAAAATGAACAAATTTAGAAGTAGCATGCTCTAATTGAAAAGAAACAAATACATGTTTAAAACTAATACTAAGGACTAAATTGAGTCAAGCAAAAATGTCATGGCCGAAGTGCAAAGAAAATAACCACAGAAGATAAATAGACATGCACAAGGGATGAAAATGAACAATTACAAAGTTAAAAGTCAAAAATCATATGGAATTAACTAGAATAGGGTCCAAATTATAAATTTTAAGTTAAATATAGACTCTGGTGATTTTTTTTGAATAAAATTCAAAATACAAGGTTCATAAACTAAGGAAATGAAATGTTTACTGCCAAATTTGGCATTACATTATCTATGCAATAAACTTTTAATTACTTCAATTACAGTATTAAATCCTGATTTTGATTTTTATTATATAGCATGGTCGTTAAAATTAAAAAATGTATGATGATATAGACAAAACAACATCGTTTTAATTCGACTATTAATGCTCAAAATGACGTTATTTTAAGTGTTGAACCTTAAAAGTGTATCAAATTTGTCACTAAATTTTGAACGATTCACTTTTAGTCATTATACTTTTTCAGCCGTCATTGTCATTGTACTTTTTCAATTGTCACTGTCATTGAATCATCATCACCTATCACTGGTCGTCAATCATAATATCAATATCTAAACATTCGTATATCACTCTTCTTTCTTTTTTAAAGATCGATTTTTCATAAAATCCACTTAAGGTCGACGAAATTAAACAAAAAAAATCCACAACTTTAAGGGATTTGATTGAAGCATTATTTGAAGAAGACGAATATACCTTAAAACTAGTTTAAATCAAAGTATTAACATGTCAAACTTTTAGATAAATTTTCGTTAATTTTAAATAAATTTCAAAAAATCAATCCGACTGAAAGAAAGATATAAATAGTGAACATTTTGAAATATGAAAACATTTGTGCTAATGCTAGGCCTAGCGTTAATGGCTACAAAATTAATTCATTAGCAGGCTAGTGATTCATGATATGCATGTTCCGGTTGGGTCGAGTTTTTGGCTAACATGATTCAACCCGAAAATATATATAGTCTTCGCTTGAAACTTAATTCGAGTCGAGTTTAGGGATGGTTTCACTCGACTCAAACATGATTTGATTTTCTGAGATAAAATCTGAATCCGACCAAACACGAAATAAATATATTCATAAAAAATATTATTTTTCAATAAAAATAAGGATATAATTTAAAATAATAATATATAGAGAGTTATTATTGTAATTATCCCTAAATATATAAGGTAAATCTATATTATTTTTTGGGTTGAGTCATATATTTTTCTTCCTAAACTCGAACCTGACCCAACTCGAACCATTTTTTTTTAAAAAAAAACCTGACCCAATCAGGTCAAGTCGGATTGGAATCCATCGGATTTGGTCCCGTGCCCATCCCTATTAGTGATCAACTAAACTATCATCGGGCGTAAGGGCAAGAGTGATGGGCACAGGACTCGAACCCGATGGATTCCAACCCGAACGGGTCATATTTTTTTTAGAGGATATGTTTGGGTCAAGTTCGGGTGTATAATGAAAAATACCCAACTCAAAAAAATTAAATTTATTTTATATATTTAAAGATAATTACAATAATAACCTTTTATATATTTTTTCAATTAGATCACTACTTTTATTGAATAAAACTAATATATATATATATATATATATATATATATATATATATATATATATATATATTTCGAGTAGAATCGGGTTTGAGTTTTATATTAAAAAGTCGGATCAAATTCGAATCGAGTAAAATCACCTTTAAACTATGGTCAAGTAGGATTTCGGGTAGATGGTATATATTTTCGATTCGGGTCAGTTTAACCAAAAACCCGAACTGAAACCAACGCATGGCCATTCCTAGGTAAAGACCGAGTAAAAGAGTATTCCATTGTGCTTAGAAATGTATGAGTTTGAAAGAAAAGGTATTAAAGCTCATATTTAAGTCTACTATCTTTTATCTTATTCGGCTTTCCCAACTCCACCTAAGCAATCAAATGAACCAAACTAAAAGTACTTTGGAGTAGACTTTATTATTCGATTTTAACTGAATTAAAATTTAATACGATCAATCAAGTGAGTAATTAGATGTTAGATCAATTAATGATTAAAAATTACTCTCACACTCCTAACATCTATGGTGCTCGAATTCGAGTCTTCAAAAATAACAACAATTTATTTATCACAGTGGCCACTTAGTTCATGCAACAATTAAGATCTTTTAAAATTCAATTATTGATTAATTTTATTCTAAATCAATTTATTAATCTAAAATATTAAATATTATATATATATATATATAATAAACTCATTAAAAATTAAAACTCAATTATTTTTTAACCATATATCAATTAAACTTTCAATACCCGATTATCATATGTCCACAAAACATTACGGCTGGGAATGCCTGCCCATAATCAAGTATCCCCAAATTATGGATAAATTTCAAAATTACTCCTTATACTTCAATATGGTTTCAATTGAATCCTCAAAGCACAGTTCCAGTTAGATCTTTCCCTCATTCTAAGCCATGGTTATACATGTCAACTTGGATTTGCCATCAAAATCAATAGAATTGTTTTGAAGTCCAGGACTTAATTTAGAGTTTGACTCATAATTTAGGGACATCTGATGAATTTAACCCATGAAATAAAAGAAATGGCAGAACCTGTTGATGGAAATGGGAAAAAGCTCCAGTTTATTTTCCGTAACATTCAACTGATATTAATGTGGTCATAAGGTGAAGGTGAAAATAAAAGAAGAATAATGTAGATAATATATAGGTTCGAGCAAAACTTGATTCGACTTGTTTCGTCAACAAACCTAGACCAAAGAAGGTACTAAAAGTGAACCGCCAATTATAATCTATGGTTCAAATGGTTCTTTAAACATGGATTAAGAGAGCTCAGCACTAGCATTTGCCTTGTTCAACATTTGTTGATCACATAGGCTAAATGCATAGTGGCGTTGTTGAGTTCCTTGATCCTTTGACTTAGGATTAGTCGGTTCATTTGTTGACGGGGGCAGGGAAAAAATATAACTCAGCGATATAGTGTCACCTTGACGTGGTGGAAGTCATCGGTTAGTTATATCTACAAATTCCGAGTACAACCACGCAACCAAAGAATCCTTCTAGTGTGCATCTGTACTACCTGAAAAACCTATTGAGTTGAATGTTACCCAAGAAGAGCATCTAATTACTTAAGTGTGATCATCACACTACAAGGACAAGCATGTGACTGTAGCTCCCAACCGTGCTCCTGCCTTCTTGTAAACTATCTACGGTTCTCAGAACACTCAGACTCGGGTTCTTTTCGCCATCCTGATCCCTAAAACATGCGACTTAGCAAAGACTTGTCTCAATCACACAAGTGAAAAAATGTAATGGATAATCCCTCACCTGGCAGTGATGGCAAGCAGCAAATTGCACCAGAAAGTAAGGCTCAACCTAGCCTAACCTAATGTCAATAAGTAAAATGTGCCATCCAGTGGCTAACTTAAGAAGCATTCAATTCAACAAAGTTCTTGTACAAATATGCTAAAATCGATCCGTGCACGTTAAGGAGACAAGGAACATGAAATCTAGAAGCTGGATATATATAGTTCATGATCAACACTTCACTCTATGACAGCTAGGGGTATATATTTCACTACATTTCATAGTTTCAAATAGCTAATTAATTTGTCTAAAATACCTATAATTCTTTTCCTCTTTCATTTGTTTCCTGAGCTTTGTGCAAGTAGAAACCTACAAATCATTCCACATATGTTGAGAAGGTAAACATTCCTCATATGGCTCTCAACTGATCAAAAATTATTTATTAAAATGTTCGAGTAATTAGATGTGTCATCAGAATTAGATCATCCAACTATTAGATATCAATCATGTTAAAAAAATTATTTACATTTCACTCTCGGCTGCACTCCAAAAATGCAACTCGTGGTAAGCATTTAAATTTTACAAGCAAAACTACTAGAAAATAAAAATTGCGGGAGATTCACTAATACGCTCAAAAGACCACTAATTTTGAAGGACAGACTAAAATTTAAACTATCGTTTACAAACCTGACCCGTTTCTTCTATTATTAGTCGATGACCCTGGTTGCCAGCAAAATTGTTCATCTTCTGAGTTGCCTCCAAATGTTGCCTTACGTTTTCTCACTGCTGCCCCAAAATTGTGATCTTCACTTTCCATGAAGCACTTTCTTGAAGATGAGCCAAAGTGGTCATTAACAGTCCTCTCCGGGGAAAAACGGAAGCCTTTACTCGTTTGTTGAAAATCATCATTAAGTTTGCCCCCACAGCTTGGACTGACATCTTTGGCTTCACAAATTGAAGAAACTTGCATACAAGGGTCAGAAAATAGACCCAACCGCAAGGACAAATCACATTCTTTTGCAAATGACTTCTCGTGGTAGTGCCCGATGTGTTGTCCAATTCTCTTACTACCAACATCGACATCAGAAGGAAAAAAATTCTGCAAAGAACCCCTTTCAGCTGGCTCTAAAATAGATGTACCAATAGGTCTCCCAACAATTATCGTATCAGGCACTATATTTTCCTGAACCGGGCAACCTGTCTGGGACTCTGCATTTTGATAGTCAACTCCATAGTAAAGGGGGTAAACTTGACCCAAGCTCGGTGGGAAGTTAGTTTCTGTCCTCATCAATTGGTCATGGTCAGATGGACAATTTTCAGATAGAAATTGATAACCATGGCGGTTAGTTTGTGAAACCGAAACATTTGAATTCACGTTGGTTGTTATTCTTGCAAATTGACTGCCAGACTGAACCGGTGATAACTGAGAACACCGTTCCTCACTGCTTTTATCCAAAATACTAGGCGCTGCAGGAACAGGTTCGGGTGCTCTTGGCGTAAGATAAGTCCTAGGATTACAGAGTCTTTGGCTCCTTGAAGCTCTCACTGGATAGCACCCTAGATTAAGGGCAGCTAAAACAACATATGTACTACAATCTTTCAGTCCAACTGGTTATTGAAACTAGTTCCAATTTGAAAAGTTCATAAAGTTGCAGCTAATGTATATCGAAATGAGACAAACCGTTTATTAACAATAAACTCAATCCAAAAATATCCCAGAGTAGAACATGTACAATCCAAAAAGAAAAATCCAATAGTACCTTCAACACAAGGTGGCAAAAGCTCTCCTGTTTCGGTGCTCTCATCTCGACGGATAATCGTGTTGATGGCATCGTTAACACGGTCCCATAGGGTTTCCGGGTTCGTGTATTCACCCTAAAAACAACATTAAGAGAAGAGCAAAATTAAGTTCAAAAGTAAATACAGATAAAAGAAGGAAAAAAAATATCCACAAAACCGAAAAGAGAAAAGAACCTCATAATTGGCTTTGGAATACATAATCTCCTCGGCTTTGACGATGACAGTAATTATCTTATCTTGCCATTCCTTGTTCTTCTTAGTAGCCGTGCTATGAGTTCCCATAGCTAGCCTAAAAGTCAAACACATGGCGGGCATGGAATTAAACCACCAAAAAAGACCAAGTAATGCTGCTTAAAATGTAACGAGATTAAAGACCCTGAACCTTAAAATCTGCTGAATGATGGAACCTCTCATGGGTTGGTGTCTATCGCAATGCCAAGCTCTTCTTACACACTCGTAAGGTCTAGGGCCTGGCCTTGGCATCTTTGATCTCTCTTCTTCAATGGTAAAAATAAAAGAAAAATCTTGAACGGTAAAACAAGAGAGAAAGGGGAATGAGGAGAAAATTTGAAGCTTACCCAGAAGAAAGTATTGAAAAATGGCACTTTTACATGGAAAAGATTACCATTGTTTACACACTTCACTCAGCTTTGGGGTCATCATTTTGCAGTATAATAAAGGTTTATTTATAATTAATATCCTGTAATTATTTTTAGATTGACGGTTAAAAATATGTTTTTTAAACTTTGTAAATTGTTTTTTTACTTATTTAAAAAAAGTTGTTTTATGTTTGTTTCCCTGGAAAATTAGAAGAAAAGGAAATTAATGAATGTCACGTGACAAGTATTTATTGAATAATTTAATTAGCAGATTATTTAAAAATGAAAATAAAATATTTTTGGGTAAAGTATATAAATAGTCTTTGAACTCTTACGGCGCTTGCTTTTTGGTCATTCAATTTTTGAAACTTGTAATACAGTCATCAAACTTTTAGTTCGTTTTTATTTTGGTCCCGGTCGTTACCTTCCGTTAGTGTTTGATGATGTGGCACTTAATTGTCGTTAAAGCCCTTTCTTCTTCTTCTTCTTCTTCTTCTACTTTTCACAGACTGTATAAACAATCCACTTGTGGTCGGTGTTGCTCAACGTGTCGCGATCTTCTTCAATCGTTATGCATTTCATCGGGCCGGTGTGACCGGTTAGGATCGAGAGGCACATGTGGATGACGCCTTCTTCCCGCCTTCAGACGTATATGCTCTTATCAACGGAGCTGGTGAACACCAAGTTCCCGACGACAACCATGCAAAGAACAGCCATTTTATGGCCCCTTCAAACCCCACAGTGCAATAGGTATCTGCTCATGGCCAACGTCGTCACATCATTCTCTTGCTTCAACAACATTTGAACATTGAATGTTTTGTTCATTTCTCTAGAAACTCTCTATTCCAGGCCTTGACCGTCCTGTCGACGGAGTCGGTGAACACGACGTAATTGAAACCAACGACGACAAAGTTTATAGCGTCGTCATGAGCGTCTTCGACGAACTCCAAGCACTTGAAATTGGATATCCACCATACTTTCATGGTTTTATCCCATGAACCTGGATATAATAACCAGAATTCTTCATTCAAGCTCAAGAACGAAACAACATAGAAATGCTTGATCCGAAGAACACTTTTTTTCCTGAACTTCAACGTAGTTCTTCAGTTTAAAGGAGCCTTTGAGGAAATCGATGAAATTCGAGAAACTCTCGTGTCTTCTAATCACACTAGGGTTTGACGACAAAACTTTCCAGCAATGGATTTTACCGTCTTGATGATCGGTGAATACCAGATCATCCAACACGATAATGGCTTTTACCAACCCAATTTTAGTTTTGAAACCCGAAAACTCCTTCAAGTTCTTCCAGACGCGGATGGTCTTGTTATCGGTGCAGGTGTATAACACATCATCGAAGGCATCCAATGAATAAATATGGCCTTCTTCTTTGACGATAAATTCGATGAGTCCCATTTGGCCGAAATTGTTCTCGAGCACAGAAGAATAAAGGAAATGTCATGGAGAAGGTTGGATCCACGACAACGACATCATGCGAGGAGGAGAACCCTCGCTACTGGTCGAGGTGATGATGGAATACCTCAGACTGGCCATTGAAGCACTGCTTTCACGATGTGAGGAGTCGTTGTCTTCCTCGCCAACGCCGTTGTTTATTGGAAACGAATCGTGGTGTTGATGGAATACCTCAGATTACTTGGTCAGCCACGGTTTGTGAAATGTTGAAGAAGAAGAATAAGGGGCTTTAACGGCAGTTAAGTGTCACGACATGGACTAAAATGAAAACGAAAAAAAAATTGATGACCATATTGCAAGTTTCAAAAGTTGAGTGACCAAAATACAAGTATCCTAAACTCAATGACTATTTATATACTTTACCTTTTTTTAATACATCTATAATAGAAGGGGTATGGAGTTGTGAATAAAAAAAAGGCAAGTGTTGCGAGTCACCATTAACTATGTTGTCATCCCTCTCTTCATTTATTTCTTCAAAATCCCATACCTTGTTGGTTAATTTAATTATGAATAAGATTTTACCCATTAAAGGGTACTATTTTATTAAGTACCACAATTATAAAAAGTTATAAAATGGTCCTCCGACTATATAGTGTTGTTTTGTTGAGTCAATCGATTATCAAAAGTTACAAAACGATCACCCAACTATTCATTATGTTTCAAATTCGTCCGTTTCTGTTAAAAAATCGACGGTATTTTAAACTTTACATTAACTTGTTGATTTTGATATGATAAAATTTAATCCAAGAATCTCAAACAACTATCACATCTCAGTCATCATCTTAATGTTCGTCTTAGACAATCGTCAATTTTTTTAATGCAAAAGGACAAGTGTAAAACATAATGAATAGTCGAGTGATCATTTTGTAACTTTTGATAGTCAAATGACTCAACAAAATAACATTCTATAGTCGGATGATCATTTTATAACTTTTAATAGTCAGAGGTACTCGACCAGTACCTCAAGAAATAACAACGATTCTTTTATCACTGAAGTCGCTAGATTCGTCCAGGTAACTTAAAATTTTAAATCCGAACGTTGCATTCATACATTTAATTCAATAATTAACACATGATATCTTTATTCGAAAAACAAATACTCAAAAGAGTATACTAAATGAATTCATATAAAGTACATGTCTTGTTGGGTCCAAGATTAGCAAAACATTGAATCAAAAGCCTAATGAATTTCTTTAAAGTTGAAAAAACTCAGAGTCCGGGCTTGTTGAGTGAAAGGGCAAAGGGCAGTGACACTGACAGCAAGTAGTTGAGTGAATTTAAGTGGAAATTCTCCATTAATATGTCAGACTAATTTATGGAAAAACAAAATCGGAAATATTATAAAAAACATAATATTTTTGGTATAACATAATTTAAAATATTAATTTTTTTAATATTTTTGATTGAACAACAAAATATTATAAAGAAATTAATATTATAAGTAGTGTTAAACCGAAAATGTTATATTTTTTTATAATATTTTCAATCACACATAATCTTTACCGTTCTTTAACGTTAAATTATATTGTCGTTCATCAGACTCACCTATAAGAATGGCCTAACATATTAGCTTTTAGGGTAAGCATTTATACTTTCAAAAAAAAAAATCAAAAATATCATTATCAATTTTGATCTATTTTAATACTTATACTTTTAATTTTTTTCAAAATCATACTTAAAGTTTAATTTTTATTTCATTTTAGTACTACCGTTCAAATTTCAACGTTAGATTTTGAAAAAAAAATTAAAAGTTTAGATATTAAAACGGACCAAAACTAATAGTTTAGATACTAAATATGTTAAAATTTTAATAGCGAGATACTAAAATGAAAAAGCTAAACATTAGATATAAATTTAAAAAAATTAAAAATTTAAATACTAAATTAAATCAAAACTGATAGTTTAAATACTAAATGATCAATTTACCCTATCTTTTATCACGTCCCTAACATTTTGGTTTCCCCGCAGTTTTGTCAACTTCCCACTATTTGAATATTGATGTGCAAAAGTGAGGCAGTTCTTGACCTTTTCTCCATTTTTGGCACACACTATTTATATGTTTGTTATTTTGGTACCACATAATGAATGGTATGAAGAGATGAGCATAGAATTTTATGTTAGGGGACGGATTTTAACTTATAAAACTCTAGGACGACGAATTTTTTTTAATAAAATATACATAAAAGAATCTAAAAACATATAATAATTTTAAATTTTTAAGAAACGATCGCTCTCACCAGTCCCTCCTAGATACATCCATGATGGTAACCAATAAGCTCCATTAACCTAAAATACAAACTTGACACTCCACAAGGGAGCCCGGTAGGGTCAACATAAGGGGAAAAAATGGAAAGTCGGTTCAAACAGTGGTTGTCAGTCTGATTTCGATTTGAATACAACTTGACTCTTCAATAATTCATTCATCAGAAAATTAAAAAATAAGGAAAAAATGGTATTAAATAATTAATAGTTTTCTACCGCCAAGGTTCCTACATTTACACCAAAACCCTGAATAATGGAACCCTATCAAACACTAAATGGTCTGCAAAAAAAAAAAGGACCTCTTTGTAATTGTAATTTTAACATGGGACCAGCCAGCATGCACCAGATGTAATGTATCGTTTCTAAGGTCTAAGGGAGTACCTGCACATGGACTCGTCACCTCTGGGGTGCTTCTGAACCGGTTGCCCCGGATGTGGTACTTGGTCCTGCACCATTTTCGGCTGGAGGAGAGGTGCCCCATTTTCCTTCCGACTCCAAAGGCTCGACGATTTGGACTCCGCCGTCTGTTAGTCCCAATGCGAATTGATTCGGGTCGGACGGATGTGCCGCAATGACGAGTGGATAAACTCTCAAGCTGTTCAGGTGTGCGTTGTTAGAAACTTCGTTGAAAAACTAGCCACCCGTATCAGATGGAATTGGGAACTGATTTTTGTGATGAACTCATAAAATGTACCTTGGATTGGGAGGTAAATATGCAGCGGGACTAATTCGACATCTCAATCTGAGTGACGAAGCAGTAAGAACACCGACACCTCCATCTTCGAAGCTCACATATATCATTTGGCTGTCACAGGAGTATGTTGCATGGGTTATGGGACCGCTTGCTTCTCTAGGGACCCACTAGTTGAGAAAACAATTCCAGAAACAATATCAATAACCTTATAGAATGTTAGAATTAAACACCAAATAACATAATAGGTTCTATTGACAAATAGCAGTATACGGCAGCAAAGCGATTTCTAAAAGGTCAAATTCGGCATTGCCAGTACACTCCTTAGTCCTTACCACATGCATGAAAAAATTCGGAAGCAAATACCTCGTGAAGTGGAATTGAATTCAACATAAATTTAGGCTATAATAATCTAGGAAAAATAAAATTAGACGGCAAGTAAGCTTGGCACCTGCTTTAGGCATTCTAGTTTTGGTGCTTCAAATATTGCTATCTGTGATTCATGAACTGCCAGCAAATGTATCTGATCTTGGTGA